TACCAGTAAGCCATGGATTGAAAGATGTCGGAAATTTCGCTCCGTGGTTTTAGTTTGAATGCAGTTATTAGGCAGCAAACCAGAACCAGAAGTGTCACTGTCGAAAGCAGAGAGAGGCAAATGCCAGATTGGGCAGATAGCTCGGTTTACTGACCAGAGATGGATAACGGCTATCATCCAGTGGTGGCCGTTGGATCGCAAGGGGTCGCTGGGCCACCCTCCAAAACGATGAGGCAATTTAATACCTGACCTAATTAGCAAAGGAACCAATTAAAGAAAAGAATTAATTAAATTAAAGAACCAATTAGCAAAGGAAGGCACCAACATTATGCAATTTGTGGAAGTGATGTTATCGTCGCAATGTATGTGACCTCTAAACATTTGTTGGTTTAAGAGATCAGTACTGGAATGCTATGCTTAGTCTTAGACTGGCCTATTACGCATTCAATAGCATACAGCGTATGTAAAAGCATGTTGCTCACCGTTGGAATATCGGTCTTCCTTCACTTTAATTTTTGGGCCATTTTGGCGCCTTTCTTTACAAGAAGCGGATGACCTCTGTCAGGTGTGCCTTATTATTTTAAAGGTCATATGGTAAGCATAGCATTTAGTCTCCTGTCTCTTTCCCATAGAGTGGTACTCATGAACTTCCGTCGGAAGAAAGGCAAATGACCCCGATCGAGGTTTGAATTTTAGACTTCTCAGATCAGAAGTTACTGATCAACTTGTCTAGTAAATTCCTTGCTTAGTGGAATTCATGAATAAAAGAAAGAATGCCCTCGAGCGAAATTGAACCCGGCACCTCCATAGTTCGAAGCGGTCCTCTTAAGCAACTGTGCTACCTTGTAGAGTTCTGTTGCACAATTTCTTGTGTAATTAAGACAACACACAACATTCTGGGTTTTTTAATAGTCTTGTTTTCGATGCCAGCATTATGTCAAAATTATCATTATCGGTTCAGCCATGAGTCACTTGTGCTGTCTCTAACTTTCGAGTAATCCTGGCAACTTATTTTGAGGAGTATTGCTGGAGGAAGACGAATTTTTGATCGGATTTAGTATAAAGTTACAATATTACGTTTCATGGCTGCAGTAATAAATTATGTTACATAGTATTTACTTGTATACGTTTATATGCGCCACAATTTGTCTCGGTACCGCTGTCTGTTGTTTGACTTAATGATAACGGTTATTAATTTATTGTTCCTCTAACTGCCAGTCGCTTTTAGCTGTTAATTTTGAAAATGGCAGAGGATCGACAAATTCTGCACAACACTGCATAAAAATTGACAGCTAGCTTCCCTTACTACGTCAAGAATGTCATGGAAAATTTTGTTATCTGTATCTATGAGTAGGAGTATTTTAGTCTGGGTTCGTAGATGTTATACGCTGCAGCATGGTATAGACTGTCACATCTTCAAATGCATAGTACGTCTACATCATCCATCTAGGTATAATACTACAACACATTATGCATAGTGGCGTAAACACCGTATATATGATTCATAATTGCATCTCTTCACCAACCGGATTTCAGAGCGCACTGAGATAGCCTTTTTGTCACGTTCCTAGATTATTAGTTGTATTGCCCCTAGGTATTTTAAGAGAAATAGTGCCTAGAGCCATAGCCGATTCTTCTGATGAGTAAAACAATATTTTGCTTTGGATCGATGATGTTTCAGGAGCCATTGTCCTTTCGTAAAAAAATCAGAAATTTACGCTCGTTTTTGCCGGCAGTTTGTTAAATTGCGCGTAATTCCATCATAAAGGATTTAGTTTCAGTGAAACCGCGGATGCAGACGCTACTGGTTAAGGATTGCTGCGGACGAGGTTCGGCCTTTCTGTTCTGATCTGTCGTCGCAGCATGTGTTTCTTATGCAGTTCTGCTGTCGTAGCAGAAAGAATTTCAGTAACCCCTGGTAGGTTTACCATTGCCTAGTCAGATGACCGATGCGGAGTTCATCACAGACTCGCATCGACGAGGAAAATGAAAACACTGTAGTTGGTCCTAGCATTTGATCCTGTACATTAGTCGTCGATGCAGTGTTTTTCATATGGATACTATTGCGCCTGCGGACTTATATATGCACCTCTTCAACTGGGAGGAAATTAAGCTATTGCGTAAATACTTTTCGCTATACACCGTTTACATGTTTGCGTATTATTATTTCTTTATTTTTATCTGTTTGCATATATTTATTGTATTTATTTTCGTCTAACGACAAACATTCTTGAAGTACTCAACTGCCGTTAATCGATGGTATCATTGTTACTGTTCAGGCGAATGCGATCAAATGTCCGGCGAAGAGGAAGATTTTGCGGCAAGATCCAAGGCCGCCGCACACGAAAGGGAGATGGTAAATTTGAAGTGTTTGCCATTCGTCGTTGTTCATGGTTTCTTTGAAATCTTTTAGGGAAACAAACAGTTTAAGGACAAAGAGTACGCAAAAGCTATTGTACGTTATAGCAGAGGCATCAAGTTCGACCCCACTGAACCGATTTTGTTTGCCAACCGCGCGATGGCGTTCATAAAGCTGGGACGGTAAGCATCATAGTTTGGTAGAATCGCTGTTACGAAGTACACTCCTCATTATATGCTCTTCTGATTCGTCGAATGCGGGAGGGGTTAAAGAAGACATGGCTTTAAGCCACTATTTTCAAAATGCGAAAAATCAGAATATGCTAATCGAACATTTTTTCGTAGCTAAACATCAGTTTTAGTAGCATCTCCTGAAACTGACCTTCGGTGCTCTATAGAAAGGTTCACAGCCGAGTGCGACTTGACCGGCATGCGTGTGAACGCGTGTTAAACGAAAAGCCTAGTGCTTTCTCGTTCTCCTGCCCTTTGCTCTCTTCAGATTAACGGAGAGGCAGTGGAGCAGGTGGAGAAGTTAAGGTACCTCAGAAGTGTACTTAATAGCGATGGAAAGTTTGAGGAAGAGATCGACCGGCGAATTGTAGTAACCAGGGGCATTCTTGCGTGAACTAGCCCGACCCGTTGTGACGAAAGCAGAGCTCGGTCTGAAAACTAAGCTCTCAGTAA